AGATTCTAGCTAACACTGGTTTTGATTAAAATTTTGCAAAAAAAAAAAAAAACTGTCACATCAGGCTTTTATAAGTGTCATATCAGTGTAACATATTATTTGTATCACTAAGGTTATCATAGTTGTGAGCAGATTTGCAGTTCTATAGCCAGCACTGTTCGGTAAGATTCATGCTTCCATGAACCTAACACAGAACTCGTTATTTCCTCTCCAATGGACTACTTTTCAATGTAGATGTGCTTGATGTGTGTGACCATCTTTTGAAGCACCGTGCATGTGAGTGGCACATTTTAGCATCAACAAATTGAAAGATTTTCAACTTTCACACACAACGCAGCTCTTCACTGTCAGGTTCAAAAGCAGTGAACAAATGAGAAGAGCTTAGAAATGGGGCAACCATTGAGCTTCATGTTTTGAATAGAAAGTTGGTAAAACAACTGTTTTATTTACTGTTATATCATTATAGCTTTGTCCGGATATCATGAGCTCCATGATGTATCTTCAAGTACTATTTTTAATTAGTCTGTTATTGTCAATGTTACATCAAGCAATTTGACAAGTGTATCTCGCTGGCTTCCTGAGTCTTGCATTTTTAGAAGCAAAGACGCATTCTGTGTTAACGAGCCCTTAAACTTTTGGACAACTCAGATGTGATTCCCATGATTATAGTCATTGTGATCAGTGTTTGGAAAGCTACCAAGCAGACCACCTCCAATCATTTTCGAAAACTGATATCAAATCAGATCAAGAGGGATCACAATTATGTCCTGTTTTGGATAAAATGGGGAATTACAAGAAAAGAAGACACGTTTGCAGTCCTGTATGAAATAAGATTTCATACATCAATGCATGAGAGAGACAAAAAAAACTTAATTTTCCCTCTTTTCCTGTATTAATCCCAAAAAAAGGAAACAGCCAAACCTGATACCTTCAAAAAAAAAAAAAAAGGAAAGAAAAAATCCTTTTTCCAGCTTGTCTTCCCACACTTCAAAGTACCTGGTTTGGAGTCTCCACGGTACTGAAACACTCAAATAAAAGTCATCTTCTCTCCATCCTAATGCTTCATCGGGAAACAGATTTGGTTTTTTTTGCTTCCCACGATGCGTCTTTATGCTTCTCACTACTTCTAGCACAGAAGCTTCAACAGCTGAAGCAGATTTTTAGCAGAGGATTTTTAGCGTTTTAAGGGATAGTCAAGCTTCCGTAGCATCCATGTGAAGGCTACCAAGTTGGAAAACTCCATTAAACCAAACTTTAAATCTTAGGGAACACACAATCCTGTATTACACTCTGAACTTTCTACAACTGAACTTTGCAGTTTATAGCCAATATTGCAAGCCCTTATGTTATTTAAAAACTAAACTATTTAACAACAAACAAGTTATTTTGATCCATCTTATTGTAGATTAAATTGAATAAATATTTTAATCTATCCATTCTGCATATGAATGTCAAAAACTGCCAACAAAATGAAGGATCCAAACATAAAGATTAATAATCTGACTGGCTAAGATGAAATATTGTTTATAAATGGAGATTTAAAAAAGTCATATGCAACCAAACAGCGTGCTAGTTCACTTCGTATTGCATTTCAGGAACAATGGGTGCATGTTTGTGTGGTATTACAGGATTTTCGCACGGCTCAGAAGTAGGTCAGATATTGCCTGGTGGACTGGTTAGGGGTTGGACAAAGAGACCCCACTGATCCGCGTCAGAAGTGAAAGACCTGATAACCGTTATCTCCTCCGCCTAACAAGTCCACCCACCAGGCTTTTACAAAAACAGCAGGACTGTGTGTGTGCAGATCAGTTGTTCATGGTGCGAAGTTACAGATCTTCTATTTTATTACTGGAGATGAGAGAGTCCCCCAACGGCTTTTCTCTTTTGATCTTGGTCTTCAAGTGCCCCCTTTCTAATCCCTGCACCAATGAATGTTCTGCCAACCGCATCAGCTGCCAAACCCCAAAAGTAAGATGTTTTTGGAAGCCTTGGCATTGGCCAGCACAGTGGTAGTGGCAGATGAAGAGTAGGCTGGTTAAATGCTGACAGTGAGGCTAAAGCGCCTCTGCCAGGAAGACTTAAAGTCACTCACATGAAATCCATCCCTCCTCCTCAAGACCAACCACTTTTTTTAAACAAAAAGACCAAGATATCTATCCATAACAAAAGCAAATTATATATTACAAAATGCCATTCATTTACAGTATGTCTGATTAGGGCAACCCAGGCTTATTCTGAGAACGTACCTCTACATACATTTCTGGAGACCGACAAATATGTCCCTGGATTTTTGCGAATCCACCAGAGGTCACTGTGTACGCTTTTTCAATTTTTTCTCATAAGTGCCATTTGCACCAGCTGTTCATGTGTAAATGCATCAGAGGCCGCTGTCGAATGACTGACTGACTGAATGACTGACTGACCGATTGACTGACCCACCCTCTCCCTTACCTAAACCCAACCAACAGTATTTTAAAAAGCACAGATTCACCTGCCCACCCACTTCCGTACTCCCAACCGATAAATTTAAAAAGCAATTGAGAAAAAGAAAAGCCCATGTCTGATTGTTACAGCGTTTCACCGCATCTCACCCTGTTATTCACTTGTTTATTTTATTTTTTTAGCTTCTGTTTTTTTCTTACCCACTTTCTTAAACCATTCCTAACCGTACTTAAACCCTGTCATTGTGGTCATCTCCTCTCTGCGTCTCAAGTCCACCAACATAAATGGAGAGCTAACTGGACAAATTGGTAAAAGCCGGAGAGCCCTCTATATGGAGGTTAGCGGTCAGCTGGTAAGCGTGAAAAGGAATAGCCATACATACTTCTGGCTACATAATTCTCGATCTCCAGAAATGTATATAGGGCTACATTTTCAGAATGAACCAATGCTGGTTTATGGGCATATGTTCCCCCCCAAACTGAGCATAACTAAAAAAAAAAAAAAAAATGAAACTATGCTACATTTTGCATTCGTACTAATATAATGAAATCTTAAAAGGTCAAGTAAATTAAATAAACATAAAAAATTCATGCATTATTATTTTTTAATTACTTTCATGACCTTTACAAAGGCTGGAAATCACACATTTACAAAAACAATGCCACATATATTCAGTCAAAAATGCTTTTTAAAGTGGCACTTTCACACCAGTTATTTCAAATAATCTTGTCACAATACACACACACACACACACACACACACACACACACACACACACGCACACACGCACACACACAGTTGAAGTCAGAATTATTAGCCCCCCTTTGAGTTTTTATTTTTATTTTTATTATTTTCCAAATTATGTTTAACGGAGCAAAGGAATTTTCACAGTATGTCTAATAATTTTCAGTATAATAATCGGTTATTCATTTTTTTAAACACCATTTTAAGGACAAAATTGTTAGCCCCTTTAAAAAACTACCATCGTTATACAATAACTTGCCTAATTACCCTAACCTGCCTAGTTAACCTAATTAACGTAGTAAAGCCTTTAAATGTCACTTTAAGCTGTATAGAAGTGTCTTTAACTGTGTGTGTGTGTGTGTGTGTATGTGTGTGTGTGTGTGTGTGTATATTTATATATACCCCATAACTGCGTTACAAAAAAACTATACACAAACCTTTTAAGCTTTTATCAATCTTCATGAATTTTTCATGCCTGGAAAGTACACCTTTAAATGTACAGGAACTTACAGCATAAAGCAATTTGCCTCAACCGAGATAACAGTTCTTGTTAAAGGTGACTAAAACACTGCAGCAGATTTTTACAAAGCATTAGCCCCCAAGAGTTTGAGCCTAGAAAAAAAACTTAACACAATATAACAAGAAAAAAAAAACTCTTGAGCAGCTGTGCAAAGCAATGATGTGGAAAAAGTATACCGTCGATCTGTTAGTCAGAGCTCCAAGCTGTTGCAGAAAACGCATGATCAAGCCATTTCACCAACAGTCTTGACTTCCCATCTATTGGGCTGCAATAAGCCTAACTTAATGCAGCCTGACTGATTTATTCTCAGGTGTCCCAAAGTCATTAACGTAATTGCTTGATCATTTTATAACATCCTCAATTGGTGACTGTAGTGCTTTGGCACCTAAACTTTACCCTATTCAGGGCTAAGTCTCCAAACTTCGTTAGCTCTTAAAATCTAGCCCGAAATATCATCTTCCAGACATTTAAATTGATTTCATTCCTTTTTGACTGACTCTGAAGCCATTTTAGTCTGTCTCTTACCCGAGTTCACCATTTGATATATGAGGAGCTTGCTGCTCTTAACAGCTCCTATTGATCCGCAAGCTCCCTCTCCTACTAGTGTGACTGGAAAGCTTTCATGTCACCTTGTAATTCCACAATCCTGGCAATGTTCCCGTAGGATCATCCCGTGGTCAGAATCTGTCTGAGCTTCTTTATTTGGGATATTAATTGCATTGATTAAAAATAAAATGAGTGCAGGTTATGTAGCAGAGCCTAAAGCCTCATGCACACCAGGAAATGTATCACTCTTCCTTTTTGCAAATGTATTTAAAACATTCATGCCTATAGCAATTTTAAATACCAGCTGAGTGAGCGTCCAAAATCACTCTCTGCCATTAGACGCTACCGTATACAAGGTGGCACTGTGCAACTTGCTTGTTGGACAGAAGTCACAATTATGCTCAAGTCCACCACTGTTCGGTACGGGTCCTATGACAACATTGTTGTGGAGACTGTTGCAAAAAAGTGAAGTTTGGTGTGGGTTTGGGGGGGCTTAACAGAGCCCCTGCGCGTAGCTATGGTTGCTAAGCCATGATTGGTGGGTGCCTGTTTTAGGGTGTGGCTTAGTGAAGGGTCAATTGGACCAGCAATAAACAAACCAAGCAAACTGAACTACTGTATAAGTACAAACATAGCCTTAAATTATGTTGTAGAAAAGAACATTTAAACTTATTTTTCACTTTAACAACTATTTCTTAATAGTTTTTGGATCGCAAAACAACCATTTTTGTTATTGGAAGTTTCTCACCTTCCATTCCGGGGCTTTAGAGGTGAAAACAGGCATGCGGCAGGCCAGCAGTGGACACCAAAATGGAGCTTTTGTCTTGCCATCATCCTCTGCAAAGAACCAACCTGGTGTGTTTTCGTCTCCTGCAAGAAATTAGGTTATATTCGGCTTAGTTTCTTATTCATTCATTCTACCGCAGCAAATCATGCGGCGCGACATCACATGGTACATATATCTAATTATACAAACTGAAGTATGGCACTAGTTAAGACGTTCGAGGCTTCCGGTGCTCACTCTCTGAAGATATTTTCAGTATTGCAGACTAATGAGCCTTCGTAAGCCTCAGTCCTGCAGCAGGTGTCCGTCTCAGCATGTGAAGCAGCAACCTCCAGGTTTCAATTAATGAAGTCTAAATTCTGGAGGCGTGAGCCACCTAGGTCTTCCTTCACAGCCACTTTGACAGGTGTTTACATTTGCCAAACACAATACGTGCCTGCCAGCAACCCCTTTCTATTAAAGAAACTCAGTAATTACCTATCATGGTCATCTTACGCTTGCATAAAAAATGTCGTGTTTTTCTGGTCCCCTGCGTCTTTGAGAGTGCATCAGCTCAAAATTAGCCAGAGAAACCATGAAAACAGGCTACAAACAGAAGCAGTCAGATCGGACTCGGCTCATTTGTTTTCACTGTGTGAAAGGTACGTGGCGTGGTTTGATGGCCGATGTACCATAGCGGTATCAACACGCAAGTCAGAGCGGGAGACTTAAGGGCCAATTAGTTTGAGTTTATGGCTTGCTGTTTCTCAAGGGCTTCAGGAGGATTTCTTTCAAATTTTATTGAAGACGTGCAAATGGCCGGAGCACCAGATATCTGTGTGCTTTGTGGTCAATACTTTTTTAAGGGGAGTTTATACTTTGGTTTTACTTTCATTGTCTTGCCTTTGATGGTGGACCAGACTAAAATCAATGGCACTCTTCAGAAAGTCGGACATTGAAAATTCTACCAATAAATTTAATCAATAATTACAGAAAGACTGTATATATTTTTAAGATAATTGCACAGACCTTGCAGTAATCCCCTCTCAGTACTCTTAAGTCCAGAAAAGAAAAAAATAAAATCTCAAAGTTTTATACAATGTTGATCCCACTACTGTGATAAACCCATGCATTATTTATACAGGTATTAAAAAAGTAATTTCATTTTTCGAAGGCCAAACGGAAAACCAGTAATCATTAACATATTTTAGAGAGAATTAAAGGAGTACTTTGCTAATAAAAAACAAGATTTTTTCCATGTCTTTTACAACAGGGTGCTCAAGCAATTACGATCACTACAAACATAATGGGCCCTTTCATACACCCGGGCAATTTGTGGCTATTTTCAGACCAGCGGAACTCTAATTTTCACATTTTGCACCATGTTGCTTAAATAGCAAATCTATTTGCACCACTTTGTGGTCTCATGGGTGTGCCAGTGAAAAAAGAAGTATGGTAAGGCGCATTGTTGGTATGTGGCTATTTTAAGGAACTTAAATAAACTGAGCCATAGACCAAATAAAACTTGGTCCAGTGCAAAGAGTGTTATTTATGTGCCTATGCAGGTCCCAAATGCTCACATATTGCCTAATACACATAGGATGTACAGTACAGCAATACATATATTTTCATTAAATATGAAAACAAAAAAGGGGGGGGGTTTATCTTTTTTTTTTTTTTTACTTTATTCATGACAATTTGCATTTAATGTAGTTATTATTGTAAGTATTATTTATTACATGGAGATTTATATTTGTTTCAATACAAAACAGTTTAGATAGATTTGTCCACCTGTTGGGAATTGGAGATGTAAGAATAGAATGTGTTTTTGTATATGTTTTTGACCAAACTTTTTTATTATTGTTCATTTATTTAATTGCTGGAAATTAGAACTGAATTTAGAAATAGTTTTGAAACAAATATTTGCGCTTATCAAATGAAACTAAATATGTAGGCTAATGGATATTGAGAATAAATATTTAGTCTTGAGTAGAGTGCGTACAACACTGTTTCCTTATCCACAAAAGGCAAGGAGTAATGTAAACAGTTAAAGTAAAAAGAAATTAAAGAGGCCGAATTGAGGAGGCTCGTTCTTTATCCTAGCGCTGCAGATGTTCTTTTTAACTGTTTTCTCGCTGGTGAAGCATTCAGTTTTTTTCACTTTTAAAGTCTGCCATATAAATAGTAAATACACCATGGCGTGACACAACTGACTCTTAAAAGGAATGGGAGATGAGACACTGACGTTAACTCATTAAGAGAATAAGCACAACCTCGACCATGTGCCAAGGAGCAGAGTGTATTTTTCTGTCCTTAAAATAACAAAAGTGGATTCAGACATGCCCTTATTACTTTTGTGCCATGCGTTTTAGACTTTGCGCATAGATCGTTGAAATAGAGTCCTATATTTCTGCATTATCTGTATTTTATTAACAAGATAATAAGACAATGATATTCAATATTGAACTGAAATCACGTTTACATTGTGATTGCACATGTACATTGCTTACTATATTAGAGGATTTTCAAAAAAGCAGAACCAACTGCAAATTCATGAATGTTAAATATATCGTAACAATATTTTTGACAGACAGACAGACAGACAGAAAGACAGACAGAACTTTTTTTCAGACAGAATGATTATGCATACAGGTGTGTTCCTATTCCTAACTATAAAGTTAAGTTTTCACAATATGGAAAAACACTGTATACAAACAATGTATCAAACTAGTTCACCAAATAATATTTAAAATGCAGACAGTATTTCCAAGACAAATTGTGGTCTTAAAGGACAGTGTGTTCTCATTGTTCACATTCATTTCTGCTTCAGTGGATTGTACAGAGTAGCTGGGATCAAGGTTTGGCTGGTTACCTTTAGCAGTTAGCCTCAATGGTGCATATCATACTGCCCCAAGCTTTCCATCATATTTTTGATAAATCAGCTAAAACATTAGCCAAAGAGCACACTTATTATTTCACATAGAAGTTTTTTATCCAGAAAGGCACCTTTCTCTTCAATAGTGCGATCTTGCAAATAAAAGCCCGACCCTTAAGGGAGTCAGACAGACATAATATAAGAAATGCCCTGATGTATTTAGTTATTTAAGAGCTGAGTCTTTACAGATATTACCTGCTTTTCTTCTGACACGGCGGTTTATATTTTCACAGCACAGTGAAGCATGAAAGCGAATTTTACCAACTAACAAACTGTCTAATCCTTCCACCCACAATGTCTTTTTCTCCATGCGCAATCAGCATCAAATTCTTTATATTGCCTCATTAAGTGAAACAGTTCTGCTATGATCTCATCTCAATCTGCCCTTTGGATAGATGATTGAGGAGCGTAGTTCACATCCAAATCACTGTAATTGAATTCTAGCTGTCACTCAGACCTGCTTGTGGGTCATTTGGGTTCACTGTTTACCTGCCTCACATTCTGTGACCCTCAAGATAGTTATTAAATTAGCTAATGAAATGTGCACTTTGTTGATTTGTTTGTCAGAAAAGGTCACTATTCCCATTTCAGACACTTTTAGACATGAGTTTATATCCAAGTTTGTCTTCACGTATCAAACTCTCAGGAAATAAAGGGACTGTATTTTAAAGAATAGAAGCTTTTTATATATGTGAAATGTGACCCTGGACCGAAAAAAATCTGTATTATATTGCATTTAATGGGCGAAATACATAATGACAATGCCAAAAATCATTAGAATAGTACTGATTAGTTATATTCATTGCTAAGCACTTTGTTTATCCTCTCATAACATATAGCCTGCTTCAAGATAATGTTTTGTAACCCAGGGTTACAAATGTGTTGTCAGTTACATTCCAAAGTGATTTACATTCAACTGATGGCAAACAAAACATGCACGCACATATCAATTTGCATAAAAAAAAGAAGTATGTGAGGTTTTGTATAATGCATTTGCATTTCTTTGATAATGTCAATTGCTTTTTTTATTCTGAACACATTTAAAGTGTAGTTGATGTGGCTAATATACATTTTTATTCATTTATTTTTTATAGTTTGTTTCTATTTAACCTTATTGTATCCATTTGTAATGTCCTTTTTCTTTTGCTGTTGAACTGTATATGGAAAAATGCTATGAAATATGGATCATGGACAATGTAAGCATTAACCACAGCAATTTTGTTAATATTGTTATTACTAAACTTTTCAATAATAAAGGCATTTAAACAACTTTTGTCCTTATGTTCTTTAAGTGACTCAATTGCACCCTATGAATTTTTTTTCAGCCATTTTAAATTGTGAAAAGCATATTTTTCTACTTCCTCCTAGATCTGTAAATCTTTTGTCCAATTTTTTCATAAATTTTTAGGTGGATCACCATCAGACCATATTGAAAAAAAAAAAAAAAACAGTAAAACAAAAACACATGGAATTCAAGTTTGTTTCTCAAACACTACTAAAATATTAAAGAGAACCTATTATGGGTTTTCGAAAATGAGTTTCCATGCAGTGTGTAAAACAGCTCTAAGTGAAAAAAAAACATCCAGCTAAGGTTAAAATCTGAAAATGTACCTTGTTTAAAAACACAATTTTTTTAAATAAAAGATTCGACTCAGGGTTGTTTAAATGATTCGTCATTTGTCCAGATCTTTTGCCTGCTCATTTCGACATTGACACGAAACAATATCAGTACATAGTTCATGGAACAGTTTCTTCCTCCATTTTACAAGTGTGAGTAAAAGCAATTAAAATGGTTGCCTCCTTGTTTTCTCAAGCTTGCAAAATATGTAGTTAATTGTGTTTTATTATTTGTAAACTCTTAATGCAGGTTGTACGGTATCTGGTTAATTCGCTATATCCACAGCTACGCTGAAAATGCAGTGTGTGCCCTTTTGTTTAAGGATTTGAATACGTTTGTGAGCTCGCGATCCTCTGCCGCTTGTTATTGCTATAGTAACCGTCAGCTGTTCCTACATGTGCGGCTGTCAAGTTTCAAAAAACATTCAGCTGAGGTTTAAATCTCAAATTGCACTTTGTTTAGAATACAAATTTTTAAATAAAAGATTTTACTCAGAGTCATTTATATTATTTGTCATTTGTCCAGATCTTTTGCCTGCTCGTATCGTTGTTGAC